AGTGCTCAAATAGGGGCGTACGGAAGTTTTAGGAGGGAAATTGCTAACTCGGGTACCAGAAAAGCTAGAAAGCTAAAATTTTGGGAAAATGTTCCATATCCAAGTACAACTCAAATACTTCAAGTTCAGCCCAATCTATACATGGTACTCACGTAAGGGCATATGAAAGCTTCTCCAGGAAAGTTACTAACTAGGCAACCAGAAGAGCTGGAAGGATGAAATTTTAGGCCGATGCTACCTGTGCATTGTGCAACTTAAAAATTTCAAATTCAGCTTTCCAAGCACGTGGAGTAACTAAGTACAGGTGTGTGTGGGTTTTGGCGGGAAAACTGCTAACTCGGTAACCAGAAAAGCTGGAAGGCTGAAATTTTGAGGGGATGTCCCCTGTCCAATTACAACACAAATGTTTCAAGTTCAGCCCCAAGCTATGTGTGGTACTCACGTAAGGGCGTAAGAAAGTTTCTGCGGGAAAATTTTAACTCAGGAACCAGAAAAGCTAGAAAGTTGAAGTTTTAGAAGGAAGTTTCCTGTCTAAGCACAGCTTAAGTATTTCAAATTCAGCCTTGAGGTATGCGTGGTTCTTACGTACAGGCACCTAAAAGTCTTGACAAAAAAAATTTCTCACTGAACAACTAGGTCACTTTTAAAGAACGACTGTCAAATGGAAATTGTACGTTTACTTTGCAAAATTTATGGTGATTTATACTAGTAACCGCAAAAGTCAAGTGTAAAGCAACAGCCATTCATACATTAATGACCTGAGTAATTCAAGTCCGGTGCAAAAACGCATGATCGCACGGGCCCGCCCGGTGCGTTCCAGCCTGGGCTGCTTTTTACCCACCTTCTGCGCTCACTACCGTTAATTATCGTAAGTTTTTGCATAAAGGAAAATGAACCATTTCCGCGTAACAGTCGCCATTTGAAAATGACCTAGCTGTTCAGTGAGCAATTTTTTCGCCGAAACTTTTAAGTGCCCGAACGCGGGAACCACGCATAATCGGAGGTTGAATTTGAAATCTTTAAGCTGCCTCCTGAACAATCCCTAAAAGCTTCCCAACTTTTCTGGTCCCCAATTTAGCAATTTTCCCGCCAAATCTCTCATGTGCCCGCACGTAAGAGCCACAAGCGTCTAGAGGCTGAATTTGAAACTGTTAGCTCACACATACACAGAAAATACACCTGCAAAGTTTCAGCCCTCCGTCTCGTCTGGTACCGGGGTGCGTTTCCCCACCAAAAAATTTTCATATTTTTGATGAGTCTGTATTTGGAGTCCAGGCGCACGCGGTTGATGATATTAAAACGGGAGACCCGCACATGGTATGTGCACATACTTCCGAAGTTTCCGCCTTCTAGCTTTTCTGGTTCTCGAGTTCAAGGTGGGTGATAAAAAATGCGCGTGCGCACACACAGCTCCTTGCCAATACGCGGGTCTGCATTTGCAAATATGCACTAACACATAAAAAAGGAATATTTCGCAAAAAATCTGCAAAATTAGCCTTCCTACTTCTACTCAATGATTTTTTGAGAATGCGATATAAAGCAATAACTCGTAAGCAGTTTTTTAAGGCTGTACGGGAATCTTAAATTTCATCAAAAACTACTGACCAATAAATGAGGCGAAAAATGTCTGCTCGATGCAACAGACTTGTGTGCAAACGCATGGCAATTCTCACATAATGCTCTCACTGAAAATTGAAAACAGACAATTTTGCAGGAGTTTAACTGCTCACATTCCATCCGCATTTCGCAGAAACGAAAAAAGTCAACATTCATTGTTAAGTGAAACATTCAAAGATCTGCTTATGTATGTGACAGATCCAAAAAAAACCAGCTAGGTGAAAAGAAAAAATTTTGACTTCAAAAATTTTTAGTACTTTCGAATAAACCTTTACTTGCATAGTGTTAAAATTTGTCATTGCAACAAAACGCATCGCTAGAATTAATGCAGGCTGTAACAGTTACGACTCAGTGTGAGCAGATATTGCTTAATGCAGAAGTCAAAACGCACCCCATGTTGAGCCGCAAACTTTGCACGAACCGAAATGAATCAAGATGGTGAGGAGAGAAAATGAAGCGTCCCATTCACCACAGTGAAAAATTTCGCAGATAAAAATCATATGTGTGTAAATATGGATTTGAGCTGTTTTAAATTACGCTAAAATGACTTCTTATCATACCTGATGAGAGGAATAGCAAGACCGCCCGGGTAAGCTGTGTGGGTATTACACACATAAATAATTTCACTGGAATGACATATTCACATCATTCAAGCAAAAAAGCACAGAATGAATCTTTTTACCAATAATTCCTCTGCTTTTTCATTCTACGTTATTCAAAAGTGCTGTGGGCGTTCCACTGGTTGATCCGAGGCGGAGGAGAGGTGAGGGGGGG